AAGAGAAGTTAACTGAAACAGGATCTGATTGGGAACTCACTAGAAAAATAGCCTTTTATAGCAATTCACAGAAACTGGAACTTTGTTGAAACATCCTGAATTCAAACAAGTTTTTATGAGAAAGGTTTTTTTAACCCAGACGGCAATTTTCTGTCAAAAGCAGAGCAAGTGCCACCTGCCTGTCCCAGAATGACCAGAACAGCCAAGCCACTGGGTAGGCACCTTCTTTGCAGCAGGAAAGCACAAACATACCAGTTGAATAGGTTTTCTGAAGTGCATCTCATCCTCTCATTTTGAAGGATCTCCGTTCTTCTTCATCACGGGAAGTTTTCTTTTCCAAGGATGGGCAAGAACAGAAAAAGAAAATGGGAAAATACCAAAAGGAATTGTTTTATAGCCAGCTCAGGTTTAAGCTCATCTAAACCACCCCATTTAAACCTACCCCTTTGTGTATGATGGCAAATATAGTTCAACTTCAGCTCAGAAGTGGGACTTTATGTTAGATAAGTCTTCAATTAACTTTTGCAAATGTGAACATTTTTGTCCTCTTCTGACCTGCCCATAATAGTAAATACATCTGGCTTCACATCTAAGAGGTTAAAATAAATAAATAAATTTTTTAAATCAGCATTAATTTAACTTCTTCATGTATGCAACCTGTGGAAAATCACCAAACTATGATAATCTGGCATAAAATAATTATAGGAAATTGTTTAGGCTAAAATGGAAAATTGTATTATACTTTATTACTGCTATCACTCCAATAACAGTTAACAACCTTCATACTCCCATCACTTGTCAATATTTCATGAACACACGCTTTGTACTGGAGTTGGTCAGGCTTGCCAGGAAAATACTCTCTCCTCAGCAAATTGTATGAACAGTAATTTCCAAAACTGAATCGAGTGCAAATGAGCAAATGTTAGTTAACATGTATCAGATATTTTGATGACATGTGCTATTTAAATGGAGTATTTTATATCATGATCATTTGCTTGGGGAAGTAATAGAAGTGTTTAACTTCTTGTAGATCTCTGCTGATGCATACTCATCTTTTAAAGGGAAATTATTGTAAAAAATATAAACATGTTTGTGGATGAACATTAATTTCTCCCCTTGAGCCACAATCACTTAATTACTGTTAGAGATCTTTAGATAAAAAACAGTATGAGCCTGCTTCATGACTCAACCTATTCCCATTTAGTTCAAAATCAATCCACACACAAAGCACCACTGATAATTTTATCCTGGGAATAATCAGTGTTGATAATAGTATTCGGGGCATGCTAAGACATTTCTCTCTTCTCTTCTCTTCTCTTCTCTTCTCTTCTCTTCTCTTCTCTTCTCTTCTCTTCTCTTCTCTTCTCTTCTCTTCTCTTCTCTTGTTTAATCATTTACCTATAAAAGCTCTCACTCCCTTTAACAGCAGGCACAATGCACACACAACCTAATAGTCACTATATGAGAAAAAAACACCTTCTGGGTGGAAAAGATCAAGTTCCTCATTCTAACGCCCCTGATTTAAGCTTTTCCTGTGTATCTATAGACTGACCTCAGATCTGGTATTTATGCACTCATTTTAAGAAGCTTAATTTACTCCAGCTTATAAATTTTCCATCTATACCTAGTGGAAGAGGGAATGGAAATGAACAGTATTATATAAAAACCCTATACATATGCACATCTATACATGTGCATGTATATGCAGCAACCAATTCACTGGGAATCTTGTTCCTGGGATGGGTATCAGATTGCCATTTCATTCTTTGCTGCTCTGCTCTGTCCATGCTTCCTTTTTTTCCTCCAGGAAAGCAAAGAAGTTTTTACCCACCCATCATACTTCATCCACTCTTTGAAAGCTTCTCTCCTCAAGGCCTGTGCATATTGCGTTGGCACGCTACCAAAACCTGCTAACAAACGGCGGATTAAGTGGAAACACGGTAAAGAATTTCAAGCATGTATTATACTTGCTTGGAGTTCAGCGTGCAACTTTAAGATGAGGGCTGCTCTCTAAACAGCCAGGCCTGGGAATTCAGTTGCAAAACAATTACAGATGGAAGGAAAATACCTTTCCTCTGAGAAAGAAACTTGATGATATTCTGCAGTCTTCAAGTAGGGTAAATTCACTGTGTGCTCTGGAAGAGCTCAGCATGGTCTGTGCTTTCTCGAGACTTCAGTTTCCATCTCCAGCACTGTTCTCTGAGGGACTTATATCATATTAACCAGAATTTTTCATATGTCAGACTCTTAAAGATGCAGGAGCAGAAGATTTTAATCATTTCCACTGGCAACCAAAACAGCCTCTCTATACCCATCTGCTGTCCTGCCTTAAGATACAAGAATAATGAGGCACTTGATTCAGTTCTGCAGATTATCAGAAGTCACAATCAGTCAGACAATAAAATTTCTAGTGTCATGCCTGTATGTAGTTTAGATACTTGTGTTTCCTTGATGAACTATGTTGGCTGTGTGGTTATCTTTCTCACAGTTTAAAGGTCTGGGTTTAAAAGCACCCTGCTTACAGCATCAAAGGAATATTCTCCAAATGCAATTTCCAGACCAGCCTAGCAATGGCCCAACCCCACACTGAATAAATACGCTGGTAAAATTACCACCAACCTAGGTGGGCCCAGGAGGAACAATGTTTAGCTTTAGCACAACAATTCTGCCCACGTTATCTAAAATTTCCTTTTCTTTCCAAAACCAATCTGTAATGTTTGCATAAGGTGTACAGTAGAAAGAGACTCTCCCATCCCTGATTACACTAAACTTGCTTCATACTTCTAAAAAAAAAACAGTAAAATTTCCTTTTCTTTCCAAAACCAATCTGGAATGTTTGCATAAGGTAGAAAGAGACTCTCCCACCCCTGAATACACTAAACTTGCTGCATACTTTTTTTAAAAAAAAACCAAACTTGCTCATGGTACTCAAACTCATTTGCCTTCTGCACAACTCCACTCTGCCAGTCACTTTGAGAGAATAAAAGATCTCAGCCTACAGTCCAGCAAAGCAGTTGAGAACACAGGACCAGTCGATGGGAAATATGTCCCATAAGGCTGGATTGATGTTATCAAGGCCATATGACAGCACATCCAGAAATCAGGAAAGGTGTATGGAGAGCAATTACCAAATCAAAAAGTAGAACATTTCTACACTCCAGTGTTCCTCAAAAAACTGTGGGTCTCGCTGTTGGCTTCAGAGGAACTTTTTTCTTACTGCATCAACTAAAAGAAAAAGAAGATGGAAATGATTTATGACCTTATACAAACTGGTTCAAATTCCTCCATAGTTCATCGACACTAAAGTTAATTTAAAAAAAAGTGACTCTTTAGTCTAATAGGTTATTTTCAGTTTTAACTAATCCAAGCTCATGACTGGTTCTGGAATCATAGACTCATAGAATGGTTTGGGTTGAAAGCAACCTTAAAGATCATCCAGTTCCAACCCCCTTTCCAAGACCAGGGACACCTTCCACTAGACCAGATTGCTCAAAGTCTCATCCAAGTGCAGCAATTATATGAAAGCTAAGATTGATTATTACTGTCCAAAGACACATTGTAATTAAGCTTATGGAAAAAAAAACCCAAAATAACCATCTATAACAGGTGGGAACAAAAGAAAACTGACACTGTCCAAAGACACATTGTAATTAAGCTTATAAAAAAAAAAAAAAATAACCATCTATAACAGGTGGGAACAAAGAAAACTGATGGAAAATAAACAGCATTGAGGATATTAACACATCTGTTCTGCATTTGAATGTCCTTCCAAATAAGTAACTGAAACGAGGCTGAAAGTGCAACCAAGTACAGTACAAATACAAGAATGTCTGCATTGAAATTCCATAACTTTTCTTTATTCACTGTGATACATTCAAAAAAAAGTGCTCCAGATAACAGCCATAAAGTAAAGAAAATTAAAATAAAAAGGCAGAAAAAGACCATCAGATACATATGGTGATTATTCATATTTCAAAGCATTAGTAACTGCTTGTATCTGAGTGCACCAAAAGCCCACAGGAGGGTCCATGTTTTTGTACACTGCACCTATAAAAATAATACTCATAGGCAGCTCTAGCAAAAAATGTTTTTCAGAACTAGAGCCAAAGCCATCACAAAGATAAAGCACCATCAGGCATACATTTACAAATGCCATAGTAATTAATAAGAGTGTAAGAAAGGTTTAGCTGAATTAATATTTTCCTTGTATAGCACAGGGAAGCTCCACTTCGACTCATCCCTTCCCAGCTCTGCCATTTCACATCAGGGACTTGCATTTGCCCCACAACACCAAGCACCATGGGCAACTTGGTAAGCTTCAGGAGACAGCAAGAGATGGAAGGAAGAGAAGCTGCAACTGGAGGCAGTGTCTATCCTCCTATTTAAAAAAGGAATATTGGCATAACCATGTCAATACAGTGGCACAATCCACCTGAGAAACGCTGTTTGTACAGACTACATTGACTTCCCAATGCTGTTTGCTGAGCTACAAGTATTTAGCTGCACTGATTTTACCTATAATAGACAGTTGTTTTCAACTCTCATTCTGCTATAGTAAAAGTGTAACTCACTGATACCTATAAAAGACAGCAGAGCATCACTTTATAGCAAACCCAGATTACATCCTATAATGTGGCTCTATTCCAGATGCAGAACTACTGAACTGTGCATTTGCCAAGAATTATTTGTAACTCAACAATTTGATGGGGAGGAGGAGTCCCAAACAACAGAAGAAACAGAAGTCAAGATGTACAAATTACACTGTCAAAGGGATATATAATATATAAATCAAGGGTCCCACTGGTGTATTTTCAGGTAGAACAGCATGGATCTTCAATAAAAAAGGGGGAAAACTCAGTAGAACTCTTGCCCTGCTCTCCCCTTTACCTGCTTTGCAGGCAGCAATTCAGGTGGCCAGTAAGACCAAAGACAGGCTTCCCCTCTGAAAATCGGAGTTACTGACACGAGATTTTCTTTAAAAGATCTAAGTGGGTCATAACAGAAAACAAGTCTGTGTCCCCATACACTTTCTATCATAAGATATTCACAGGGACCCTGCTGGGTGTAAGGCTACGCCCCAGCTGCTATAAAGATTTCAGCCCATGTATGATTTGTGCTTCCCAAAGCAGGATGCAATGGCACTGCTCATATGACCAACATCATCTTCACAGTCAGGTCCTTGCAACATCAAGGTCTGTTTGCTCAAAAAGCATTTTTTTTAACTATGTTACTAATAAAGTCTCGAATCACTCCAGTCAAAAGAAGGTTAGAAGTGTTATGCAGTTATTTACCCTTCACGCTATTTGTGTGGCATTCATCTCCCACAGTGCATGCCCTGCCCTTTTCACACTCCCTTTCTGATGCGGGAACACAAAGCTCTAATGTTTGGGTTGCAAACACCATTAAATGCCCCCTCTTCAGCCCCCAACAGCATAGAAATATTTTCTTTTAAAAGTTCAGATCAAAGCTTTTCTACTAATCCTAGGATTTATTAAAACAAACATTGTAGGCATGAGATAGTCAACAGCGTCCCTTTTATAAGATTCTTTGGAGACGGTTCTGATTTTGTACTGTTTACTGATCCGCCCCTAATTAATCTTCAGTTGCTCAGCTGCAAATTCAGCAAGTCCACCTGCTCCTTCCCCACCCAGCAGACGTTCTTTTCTCCCCAGTTTTGAGCTGTAATGACAGCACCACACAGCCCCTGTCCTGAGAACAAGGTGGATTGTTTGAACAGCGATATATCACATCCCGATGTTACAAAATCGTATCGCACACATTTGCAGCAGAAGTCCAGCCTTTCCTCAGATGAGTAATTAAAACCAGTCATTAAGTGCTTTCAAGGAGTTTCACTGTCTTTATCCTTCCCTGCAGTCAAGGTAGTTGCCTTTGATCCAGTAACAGATCTGTGCGTATTTGAGGGGTGTGATGCGAACGGCTACATTGAAATCCTGTGGGGTGCCGTTCATGTCCACCCACTGATGGCCTGAAAATATCCCAATAATTTTACGCTCCCATTTGTGATTCTGCCTCTTCCACATCCTCACGTACACCCCAGATCCACTTGCACCCGGCTGGGCATCGCATTGCTGGTACAACAGGTCATACGTTTCATCTTTGACATCACAGAAACGGTAAACCAGGTTTCCTGGACGATCGTTGTCGTAGCCAGAGAAGTGAATCCTCCCTCCAGGCAAGTGTCTTGCTGGTGGGCTCACACCTATCTTCATAAACTTTCTTTTATGAGGCTTCTTCAGCTCCAGCAGGGCATAGTCATAATCCATGCCAATGTCATTGGCATTGCCTTTGATCCATCCTTTGGGGACATGTGTCCTTTTCACTCGGATCCACTGGAATTTCATTTTCTCAGGTATTGCTGAGTTGGTGATATTGGCCCCTTTGCTGCCATCTTTCAGTTTGGGCTTTAGGAATCCCACCCGCAGTTTCTGAGCTCCTTTGACATAACTCTTGCCGTCATGGATACAATGAGCAGCAGTAAGAACGTGCTTTTCAGCCACTAGCGTCCCTGTGCAACCTGTAGATAGCTTCACCGATGTGGAGAATGGGTAATTCAACAAGAAGTCTTTCCCAAAAATGCTAAACCTGCTGTCATAGCCATAAATTTGCCTCTTAGTTCGAGATTTGCCTTGAGACCCATCACCGCTGTTGCTCAGAATATATATGCCCACTTCAGTTTCAGTGAGGCTGCCATTGGCATACAAGGTTTCATAGGACAGGTAGTTCTTCACTTCTTCATAAGTTGGCAGCGGAGAACTTTTGTGGCACGTTGGGCCACAGGGAGATACCACTTCCAGTCTGGCTTCAGCATTAAACTGTGGTTTGTCCAAGTTAAGGGTAGACTGTGGCAGGATAACTGGAACTCTGTAAGATGGCCAAGTTGGCTTCCAGTGAGAACTGGAGGGCATCACATCCTTAGCAGCACACAAAAGGAGGATTAGAGTGGACAAGCCTGCCATTCTGAATGCTGGGCTGTGGAAAGCAAAAGGAAGTTCAGTTACTCACCCAAACATGCTGCAAGATTAATCTACCTTGCTCGTGTCTTGCTAACCAAGTATAAGATAATCAGTATAATATAAGGGTCAAGTGATTCGAAGGGAGCCAACTGTCATTAAGTTCTTCAGGCTTCTCAGCATTAAATTAATACCTTAACATGCATCTTAAAACAAGTGTCCCAGGTGAACACTGAAACACGGGGCATTTAACCCTTAGATGTGCTGGGCCACCAACTCCTAGTTGACATCAGTGGGAAGTTATGGTATTTGTCTTCACATGGTACAAAGAAAATTCAGACTCTGTAAATTCCTGCATTCAGAAACCACAGCTCCTGCAAAGAGCAAATGTGTGGTACTTCAGCTAGATTACAGCATCCTCTGAAAGCTCCCACCTACTCTCTGACTCTGCTGAGGTCCTTAAATCACCTCACACTGTTTGCTGTCTCAGAGAGAGCCATCAAGCTGATGGGAGGAACAGGGGGGCAGACAAAGAAGGTAACCTGAATGGGAGCTGGGTTGCAGAACATGATCGCACGGGAAACTCACTTCCCCTTGCAACTCACACCAGAGGAAGGTTTCTGCTCCACATAGCATTCGCTCTCCCCCAGGCTTATATGAGAAAGGGTGATATGATTAAATGAGGGCAGCTAATGAAGTAAGTTTACAATTCTTGAGGGAATTTTCAGTTAACCTACTGCCTTATTCCTTTATAAACTCAATTAATTAGAAATATAAACCAACCCCCTCAGAGCACAGGGAGGCAAATGGGACTGTAAATGTGTTTATGAACCACAGGCAGAGTGCCTCAAGCTGCAGAGAACAGAGTGCACTCGTACTGTGTCAAGAAAATGTGTAACTTTAGTTTATTTGAAAATTAGCCATCCAGCTGAATCGCTGCGGGAGGCATTGCGCCCTGGGCAGGAAGGCAGGCAGGATCTCCTTCATACAAAGATTATTCAAACAAAACTCCACAATTATGTTGAGCTTACACATATTTAAAACCCTGCTGAGGTTACACTGATCACAACTGCAGGATCATTCCTGAAATACCTCAAATGAGTAAACCAAAGCAAATCACGCACGAGATGACCACAGCTATCTAAGAATAAAAAAGCCTCTCCAATGCTTTTTGTAGGAATACTCCATCCCTAAGCTGCACCAAAAAAGACATCAGAAGCTACAGACTGCTAAAGTCCCAAGGTGTTCAACTCAAATATTGGGCCTGGATTCTTCCACTGTTGGTAGCATCCTCTTTGGGAATGGAAGCTGTAATTAAAGCACACAGTGTTCAAAGTATCAATTGACTCATGCAGGATATCAAAACATTTCCATTCCAAAAGACTAGATGTAGATGAACAAAGCTGATGCTACTGATGCCCACAAAGGCAGGTACTGACTCTTCCAGAAGTGACCAGTCATTCTGTTGGTAATTTTTTCATTAACAAACAGGATATCTTTGAAGGGATGCATTTTTTTTTCCCTAGAAGGGCTAAGCTCTATAGATTGTGTTTATATCTAACAGGCAAGTCATGGTGGAAAATACAGGCCATTTTAAACAGGAAGCAGAATAGCATAATTTTGCATGTCCCAAAATTGGAAAACACTTGTTTATGTATTCAAGGAAAACCATCAGCTGCTCTGGCTCCTTCCACTGTAGAGATTAATTTTTGATGTGACCGGGTTTTGCAAGCTATCAAATGAGATAGTCCCGCGTTGGTATAAGGATGGCCCAGGGAACCTGGGCTGTATATCAGATACACTTGTTGTATAACAGTGATTAGGAAAACATAGAAAAATAAGGTAACAGGGAGAAATGATATGACTCCAGCTCCATAAAGACAATATACACTAGCATGTCAACTGTTAACTGTCCTACTTGTGACAGTGAGGGCTGTACACAGAAACCTTTACTGGTCTCCCAGTTAGAAACTGCAAACAGACTAAATCACAGTTATGCTGTACATCAGGTAGCAGATCCCATTACTAAGAGTGCGTATTTATAAGCAGTCTGCTCTTAATCTGCTTCACACCACAGTTATTCCCACAAATTACATTTGAAGCTTTCCTGATAGATGGAATCTGTCTAAATTGCACCATTCATGCCACTTCTCGGATCTAAAAATCATTCATGTGAACTGAGACAATGCTGGCCTTTGGCTGGTTTATTTAGCTGGCAGGGGAAAATTAGAAGTGTCTTGTCAGTTGTTATTTGCACAAGCAGCAAGATTCCCTCGTGCCTGTCAGCACAGCAACCTGATGAAAGGACTGCATGTCCAACAGCTTCTCTGCTTCCTCCGAGAGCATCATTCAGGCTGAGGAGAGAAATTACCTTCCCCTCCAACCTGCCCTCCCTCATCTCCCTACCATCACCACTGCGGCAGAGCCAACACTTTCCAAGGCAGTTTTAGACAGCAGAGGGCAGCCGCCCTACGAAGAGAAAACGACAGGAGCTGGGACTCAAGTTGGTCCCCAAAAAAGGCTTCAGAAGATGGTATCCGTGTCTGTGCTGTGCTCTGTGAAGCGGTACTTACTCCATGTCTTAGAGCAAGCCTTCCCACACCGCGCCCCTGCTGCCTCGGTGCTCTGATCACACTGCAGATATGTAGGATAAAAAAGCTTTTTCATCAGTTACAGAGCTTTTCTATTATTTAAAATGTTATTAAAAAGTTGTGAGTTTATACCTGGCCATAGAAGCTAAACAGTGCTCACAAAACAAGGCATTTACTGAATTCTTTGTAATTATGTCTTATCTGGAGACATAACTGATACTAAATCAGTTTTGGGCTGCAATAAATAGAATAAACATGTCTTACTTAGAACAGCATGCCAAAGTAGCACTTCTGTGTAAATTCTTCCTCTTTAAAATATAAAATGGTTAAGCAGAAAAATGAAGGAATTTAAAAAGTAGTCTAAATTTAAAGAGAGACCTACCAGTTAGCCTCTTCTTTCCTTTTCCTTTCTCTTTTCCTTTTTGTTTAAAATTAAAAGCTGAAAAAAATAGGGTTAACACTCCCTATGTTCAGCTACTTAACTCAGGGGTGATGCTGAAAGATGTTCTCAAACAGAGCAAACTGGTAAGAAGGGAGAACTTCCCTGAACGGCTATCACAAACCGATACTGAATGAATTACGACGTGCTGCTCTACTGTAAGACCTCTCTTCTGTTTCTATTTAAACTGTGTCATAAACTCAATCCACCCTTTGACTCAGTACAAAGCCCTGCTCAGATATCCAGCCTAGGAACCCCCTAGAAAGCGGTTTGTACATAATCACACTTGTTAATGGCATTAAAATTGTTTAGAGAATGGAAACAGTGACAGCTACCCCGGGGCTTCCCACACCACTAAAACACTTTACAGACACATTTCCCTGCCTGCGATGGGCATTCACGCCTGGAGATGGATGTTGGTGAAAGAGAACTGCCTTGTTCAGGACAGACATGAATCATTTTCTAATAAGCAAGTAATTTTTCTGGAAGAGTTCACTACTTCAGGGGTGGCTCTTGTAATAGATGGTTAAATAACAATAAATCTTGGAACATACAGTGTGAAAGCCCATGAAGCAAACAGCCTCCATTACATTTTGAAATGAAGAAAGTTTTTCCACGGTGCTGGAAGCCAGAGTGATTAACATGGAAAAAAAAAAAAAAAGAAAGAAAACCAAGAGAGTAAGAGAAAAACCTGCCTCAAACCAAATTATAAAGGCGAACTAAGTCACTGTCGCTGTCATGCCAAAATACCTCAGCTGCTTTTCTTAGTCACAGAACTTATTAAAACATTGCAAAAAGAACTTAAGAATTAGAGAAGCCTCACTGCCACTAAAATCGAACATCCCTGTTAACCTGCCTGCGATGCTGCGGGAGGTGTGGGAGTTCCAATGCCTTATCCGCTGGGCTGAGGGCTGTAAGAAGAGATGTCTTGGAAAACCTGAAACCAACTTGGACACTGGCAGGCCAAGGGTGTCTGTTAACACATACAACGGGCACAGCAGGTATTTTGACATATGTGTCAGTGACACACACACAGAAGAAAGGGATCATATTATGTGTTTACCTCTTAGTCCAGTTCCTATAGAATAATTTTACTGCCTCCTTTCGCCCTCTTTCCTGTCCTCTTTCTCTCTCCCTGCATGTAAAGCAGCTTCGGTTTCGCAGTACAAGAGCAAAGTGTGTTACAGGCTGACAGCAATGGTCAACTTGGACAAAACAGCGAGCTGTAAGCAAGGACACGCATCCCCAGGGCCACCAAACCACCTGGGCGATGGGCAGCACCGGGGCAGGCAGGGTCACCGGTGGGACCTTACCGACCCCTGGGACCTCGCTGGGGACAGGAGGCAAAAAACAACCACTTCACCGAAGAGATCGTGCTGTACATCCCTGATAACCCCAAAACACTGACTGCTCCGTCCCGGTGATGGATCAAACTATAGGACCGCAGCGGCTCTGCCGGAGAGGAGCTACTTCTGATGCCTCCCGAGAGTGAAACGCAGCAAAGACGCATTTTTTTACCAGCTGTTTCCTCACCAGACGCCC